AATATATCGACAAGAGATAACTGGTCTTTTGGTTTATCAAACCATATATGATAATACGATTGATCGTATCTGCAACAATTGTGGTATTTAAAGAAATCGACAAGAAGTGTTGACAAATCTATCACAAATATTGTAATTGATATCTATATAATAAAAATTAAGAATGGTATATAATGTTATCTTCTCTATTAACGTTATCTTCTCAGTTTCCTTAAAATTTCCATTTTTATTGCAACCATCCATCAAGCTATTTTATTGCACGCCTTAAGAATGTCAAGTAAGAATGATCACCACTCTCTCGTCTAGTCCGAAAGTTTTTGTTGCGGAGAGGAGAAGTATCATGTAACGGACGTTATAAAGTAGCGCAATACGCCGTTGTTTCTGCAACATATATCTGGTAAATCGTGAGATGGAAGCAAACGTTCGCGCTTATAGTCCCGTGGGAGAGAGCAACATGTCTGTCTGTTGCTCGAGAGAAACTTCGTTGAAAGAATCCAACTAATACTTTCAACGCCGTAATTACAGTCGACACGATTCATACAGCGGTTTCAACGTCCCGAGGGAAAGTTTGCCCCGATGCGGTGAGGCGAGGATAAGAAGCAGCCCTTGAACAAACGAGACGACTCGCAACCTCCGAAGAGGTCAAAGAGTACATCTACTCTCCCGACAAAAGAGCTTGCACAAAGAAGTAAAAAGAAGAAAAACAACAATAGTCCTGCGTCGATCTCTCTACCAGTTCTTCTTCAAAAGGTAGGTCGAGGATCTCCACATGAACTCTCTTTCAACAATCAGGAAATGATCAAAAGTCTGTTGGACGTGAAACCTACATCCAAGAAGTGGACAGAGGAATTCTAATAAAAAGTGTAAACCCTTAATCATTTCTTAATCAGACTTAAAAGAACGTTCTAAGATTTCGTAGAAATTAATAGGAACTTAGTTGAAAATTTGCAAAGAGATAATTAATTTTTCTAATTACACGAAAGAGAGAAACTGGTGCAAGTGTATAGCCAGTTCGCAAAACTCCTTATGCATAATCTCCTACTCGAATTTGTATCACCAGCCTAGCTCTCACATGGCTAATTTCAGAAATCCCATAGCAGTTCACGCGTAATGTCAGCTTCCGAATTAGAAGCGAGCCTGGACTTTATATCAGCTCGTTGCGATGTTCTTGATTAAATATGGGACGATGCGCCAATCTCATGGGAGGAAGTTGCGGATCTTTCAAACAAGAGAGAGAGAGAGAGAGGGAGAAGGAAAGGGGAGTAGGTTGGTGTAAGGTCGACAGTACGAAACCTCTGGTTTATTTCTAATCGATCGCGAGGCACGCTCGACGCTGTTCGGACTAATTCGGCTCGCATCGGTGATTCAAAACTGTTCGATTCGTAAAGTAACCGCATCACCCATCTCGTGCGATAAACTCGGAGCGAGGTATCTTTTTCATCCCTTTCACTCTCCCTTTCCAGAAAATCGACCCTTCCGCGTATAAACGCGGTCAGAGATGCGCGAGAGGGTGGCATGGTGCCTACCAAGAAATTTGGATCCCTCGAATCAATACTGCGTCTACCCTTGCCTCGCACAGCATCACCAAATATACGTGTAACATAAAAATGTTATTCGAACCAGTGTTTTAACATCTGAATTCTCAAGATTTACATTCTCTTTCTCTCTCTCTCTCTTTCTGCATTACCTGACATTTTATCTACTTAAAATGCATTTTACCTAAAGAATAGCAAATTCCTTTTTATAAAGTCCTTCCTCCTTATTATTAAAAATTCTACCTCATCTCAGCAATTATGCTAAGAAAACGCTCGTGGATGACAAGTACGCGTACCACCGGTAGAAAATAAAAGAGATAAGGCATCTTTAACAATTTTCATCTCTGGAATAAGGGTTCATTATGCGAAAGTAAAAGAACTATCTGGACAGGTTCATCGCGTAACCAAAATAGTTGGAACCGACCACTCCGTTCTTGCGGAACTTGGGAACGACTAAAAAAAACTGTGTCACACAAAGTGACTGTTCTACGAGAATATAATCAAAACGGGTAATATTTAATTCCCGTCCGATCTCTCGTATAAATCTCAGACACCTCTCAGGCGCATAACGAATATCACGGAAGATTTACATCGATCTCGCCAAGAATTTTCGCCCTTATTGAGTACAAACCGTCAGAAGATAAGCGAAAAAAATGTTATTACTCCGAATTTTGTTGAAACTATCTTTCCACATCTACTTTATCCTAACATTTTGTACCGTCAAATGTAGTAGTGTACAATTACATTATTCAAGACTCGATTCTTACAATTAAATTCTTAAATTATGCAGCATTAACACAGAAAATCTATATTCTATATAGACACAGCATAAGGAAAAATATTATAAAATCAATTACGCGCGTTCTACCTGCATTAATGCTAATATTGGTAAAACAAAAGAGAGAATCGAAAGCTCTTCGGTACATTAGAGCAAATCAATACATTTCCATTGGATTTCCAATTGAATAAGCGTGGAATAATTCTTAACATTTATCAGGTAATAATTTTCTGATCAATTCACCTCGTTCTGGATAATGTTTCTCACCCCGCAGGACCGGTATGCGAGTCAGCATTCCGAATCCATATTTCTAGATTGTATTCCGTAACAACGGCGCTCCTCTCGATTGCTACTGAAATTGCTGGAAGTCAACGCCGTGGCCGATCGACGAAAAGATCTGGTTCGCGATAGCAACACGAAATCGGAATCATAAAAGTAAAGGGATCGCAAGTTACGAATATTATCGTATCCACAGAATTTCATCTCGTAACTCGACCCATCTGAAGATGCTCTTTGAAATATTAAAATATAATCGGAACGATCAAACGGAAAAATATCCGGACGGTTTTTCATGCGAAGAAAATAAGCAAAAAATATGTGTAGAACATTTTAATGCAGTTGCACAAATAATGGAAAACAGTTTCGCTAAAGTACATAAAAAAGCTAGATGTAGATTTGAGATTAATTTTGTTTGGACCAATCAAGATAATTATGTGAGAAAGTGGTAGAATGTTAAAATTTCTACAGCATTACATTGTCATTAAAGTTCAAACACACACACAGTGTCCAAGATTAATTAGAGTTACAATAAAGTAAAATAAATTATAATACGAGTATATCTTACTTAAGGGGAAAAGATATAAGATTTGTGAAAAATGAATCCCGTCCCCTAAACATTAAGAGTGTTATACATAATTAAAAATGAAAATACAGGACTCTTAGTATTTAAAATATAATAAAAAAGTGTACAAGGCTAATAAGAGTCACACATTCAAGAACTTTCTTGATTCTTATTAGCCTCGTACACTTTTATTATACACAATTATTTTCTAATGAAATTATTTTCAAAATCGTATCTATATTCATAACTAAATTTTCAGATATCTCATAGCAAAATAGTTCCTCCCACATAAACCAGAATCATACAAGACATGTCAAACATATTCATACAAAACATTGATCGGTATTGATTTTAGACGTAATACCGAGCACGGAATATCGAGAAGACGTATAGAATAATCTGGGATGCAACGGATAACACTCCATATATATCGTAGAAGGATTATCCTTTCTGATCGTAGAATAAATACAATAACGTTTGTCCAGTACCGGCGAATTGCTCGCGCGTACGCAATTGATAAGCGCGCGCGGCTTATAAAATATTTTATTTACGGACGATGCTCTTCTTTCTACGAGAATTTTTCCGCGGCATGTCGCCTATTGCGGAGTATTCACCGTGCAACATCCATAATCCAAAATCGATGCACCGCTGTTCCAATGTGAGTTTAACGCCCCGTGACCGTGGTGTTACGACGATATCGGACAGCGTAATCCTCGTGATTTCGAATTTAGAGGGATCGTCAATTTGATACGTTTTCGCGCGTGTATACAACGAGTACGTGTATATATATATAAGCTGCCTTTGACTTTCTGTCTTTTTAGAACACGTAAGCTCTTATTGCGCTCGGCAAAGATAAAGGGGACGAATGAGGAGGAGGGGGGGAGGGAAAGAAATGAGGGAGAGAAGAAAAAAGAAAAGAGCGATCGCGCCAATCTTATCGAGCGCAAAGAGTCCATCGAAGGGAAGCGAAAAGATTCCCCGCGCGCTCTTTTCTCGACGGTGCGGCTGGCGATGCTGCCGTGTTGGTCCGACAGGTAGTCCCCCCGGTGGTCCATCCGTGTCCTTCGGCGCGCTGGTGGCGCGACCCCGAGTGTATCGAATCGAGGATCTTCGCAGATTTTCGGAGAGCTTCGTTCACCCACGAACAGGCTCCCGCGGGTTCTCCCGGGCTCTCAGCACCACCGGCTCAGTACACTGCGTGGCGGCCTGGACCGCGTTCACCGCGCGCGGGCGGCCTACAACCCTCCTACAACCGACGCGGCGTATGGAACGCGTCGACGCGGTGTGTGCTCGCTTGCGTGTCTCTTCGAGGACGCACACGTAAACGCCGCGCTCTTCCTCTCTCTTCTAGGTAGGGTGTTTCGAACGCACACACAGAGGAGCATCGGCCAAGCGCGCGCGGCACATGGTCCTCCCGAGCAGCGCATCCCCCGATCACGTACGAGGTCAGTTCGCGCTCTCGGGGGGGTGATCCGATCAGTAGCGCGAACGTGGCCATCAGTGCGGGGCACGCAGTCTACAGATACGGAGGAGTGATTGTCGCGATCGGCCTCGAAGTCTCCTACTACGTTGTGCTACCGTTATCCTCTCGTCATTCACTGGAAAACTCTATCCACCTACTACCTTCAAGATCGAGTATTACACCCGGAAGCGGCGAGATCCGTCGCGATGGTCGGGCACGTGTGACGACGTGCCGTAGCAGCAGAATGTGCCGACTAGCGATCGACGAGATCGGAATTATCGATCGACCGCGAGTATAGGCTGAGGTCGAACCGCGAGGAATTGAGCCTTCCAAAGTGGGTCGAACCTGCGACACGTTTACTCGCGCTGCGGGGAGAGGAGAGCCATACCATTTCGACGTGGACGAGGATCCGCGGGAGATTTGCGGCGAGCCAAGCATACGTGTGCGCGCGCGCGCGCGTGTGTCGCACGCGTGCACTTGTACAATGCGTGCGTCCGCACAATGCACAGAGCGTAGACCGCTACAGTGTAAGCTACGTGGTTCTTCGATAACTAAACGCGGGTAATACACGGGTATTCGTGGCGAAAAGCGGAGATCGAGATTGTGGAAGAGAGAGGTGGTGTCTTTGGAAAAAAGAAGGAAAACCGGCGATAAGAAGACGACGGGGAGAGAAATCGTTTGAGAAGTGGAAGGAAGAGAGCGAGAGAGAGAGAGAGAGAGAGTAATGATCGTGACGACGGTCGTGTGGACAAATGAACACCTCGGCACAGCGTTTGGGATATTCCAAGTAAGTAGCAATGCGCAACGCCAAGTTGTATTATGCTGCGGAAACGTTATCGCTTTGATATATACGCGTAGTTTTAAGTGCTATTATTTCGGAGAGCGAAATTAGTTTCTCTCCGCGGAGAATAGAAGTCAAACGATACCCACGGAATAAAGAAAATGCCAAGGAAAATGCTGTTACGTGAGGTATAGGAATTCGGAGCTCGAGAACGACGAAATCTTTTTGAAAATAGAGAGATCGATACGTCTCGTCTATCTAGCAACTACTTGTGATGCACGCTTCTCTCTCTTTCTTTTTTCTTTCTCACTTCCTATTTTTCTCTTTTTTTTCCCCTCTCTCTCTCTCTCTCTCTCTCTCTCTACGCTATCGCTTCGCGCTCGAGAAATTTTATCGCCGGTCATTTTTCAAGTCTGTGGACCATCGATGGGGATCACGGAGGCTGGTAATGGATGCACGCGTATCGCCTAAACCGGAGCATGTTGGTGCGAAATCCAACGCGCGGTTAGCGTCGAATCGACCGATCACGCGGGTGCGTGTTCCATCTGGCTTTAATTAACCAGGTAGGACAGAAGAATGCGATCTCTCGGGTCATATATACTCTTCAAGCTCTTCAAATATAGCGACAGCGTCTCCTGTCTACGTCCCCGCGTATAAACGCAATTTCCAAGTGAAATAGAAAAAGTTTCTTTCAAATTATACGAGACAATTGATGCATGGTTGAGGAACTGAACGCGCTTTAGCCTTTCCTCGATGTGTTTGGTATGCTAGATAGACGAGACGTATCGATCTCTCTATTTTTGATTCGGTTGAAAAGATTCGTCGAGGTCGAGCTCCGAATTTTCACGCCTCACGTAGCAGCATTTTCTTTATTCTATGGCATCATTTGCCTTCCACGGAGAAACTAATTTCCGCGTGTTTCCCTAAAATAATAGTAACTCGAAACTATACGCGTATATATGAGGCACTTATATTGAGTTAATTAAGTCAGATTCTTTCTCTCTCAGTTTTCCTCAACCATTAATATAACGTGGCTAGATTTTTGTGTCTCTTGTTATGCTTTTTTTTTTGTTTTTATCACGGCCGGCTGAACTTTTTCCGGGAATTTTGGCGTGAAAGGTATCGTTAAGCACAATCCGCGTGTGCGTGTATACGTTTAAATATTTGAGCCGAATCAGAGATCGCATTCTTCTGTCCTATACCACCCGTTAATTAAAGCCAGATGGAATCATCCCAGAAGATTGGAGCCGATCAATCTTCACAGATCGTACTACCGCGCGCAATACCGTGAGATGGATTACATCCGGCTCAAAATTTGTAGAGCTTCTTCCAGTCGGGTCGTATACCACGTCAATGTATAACATTAGCATTTATATGGGCGCGCCGGCAAGATTCCGCGCGCGCGAGTAGCCCGGAAGCGAAATCCGAACGGAGCGAGATCCGTCGGCGGAGCGAGGTGTCGCGAGCAGAAAAGCGAGCGGAGTGAAAAGACAGGGGGGTAAACGCGACGGAGGCAAATTCCAGCTGAGGAACAAGTCAACATATTTTTCAGCGTCATCTCGGGAATCAACGTCGGCAGCGACGACGAGGAGGTATATCTAACTTGGTAAAAAACGAAGGTGAGCGATACCGAAACTTTCAAAGCACGTATAACCGCAGAAGGTTGCATGAAAATTTGATTTTCGGTGTATCATCGACTTATCATCGCAGGCGCAGAATAACGAATTCCTCGCATGCAAAATCTTTTGTAGAAATTGTTCTGTGTAAGTCGCTGCGAACGCGCGGGGCGGACGTAGCGGGACTGTAATTTTATCAAAGATACATCGTCCAAGAGGGAGGCGATATACAGCATTTATATTAGCATTTATATAAGGGCAAAGTAACTACACTCTTCCACAGGCCTCTACGTGCTCCACAGAGCAAAAAAAGAATAAGGAAAAAAATACACGCCGTATAAGATAAGCGCTCCTCTTGCCGTGGCTTGCGCGATTCGTGCTCAAACGTTTCGCACAGACAGTTTTTGTATATTAAAATTGATAATTGTTGGAATTTTATTTTCAAGTCACATATAGGTATTGGTGAAACCCGAGTGGCATACTAACGGAATCTGCAGCTAAAAGTGGAAATAATTATCTTTTTCTTGTACTTTTTCAAACGGAAGTATCATAGATTCGCAAAGTTTACAAACCAAATTTTCAAATTTATACTTTTTCGATTTTAATTTTTTAATATAGTAAAAAAATGCGAAACATTTTTTTGGGATATCCGTGAAGTTGGCACAATACTCTATTCATATGAAATAAATAATGACAGTTTCAGTAGCATTTTTTATAATTCCACGGTAGTTCTTTTTAAAATAAAAAAAGTTTCACAAATTTTTTTTTTCATAAAAATGCAAAATTGGAAAAATTACAGTCGAAACTTTGTTTAAAAGTAATCAAAATATAGCCCTCTACTAGTATATACTCAAACGATGAATGTCACTGGAAATTTGCAACACATTATCGACGCGACACGTTTTTTCGAGCAGCGTGCTATTTTTTTATACAGGTTGTTAAAAAACTATTCAGCGTTTATACGGTACATACAATATCGAATAAAAAAAGTCCTATAGAAAACATAAATCGAAAGCTCAATCGTTTCTAAGATATAAACAACTTTCGTGTTGGTATCATAACTGATTTAACTGTCTCTTCTACATGTTGCATGTTTCTATATGTCGCCACTGTTTCTACTCAACGTCATTAATTTAACTAAAACAATGTTAAACAATTTAATTAAAAAAATGTATTAAATTTGACTGACGTGAGAAATTTAGTTATTTACTATAATATTTTTTGTATTAAATGCATTAAATACCTGTGTATATATTAATATGGACGAAGTTTCCTTTGAAATTAATCACAGAAATGGATATTTATATTTTTTGCACGTGAAAGTTAAAAAAACACACTGTTATGTATAGTTCAAAAAATTGAATTGTTATTATTTCTTCGATATCTAACAGCGTAAAGGAAAAGAAAGTCATCGTGTATGATAAGGGTCGGAACTCTCAGCGAAAGATCTATAAAGTTGAAAATATTTTACATAAGAAGCCTGATCTACAAATGCAAAATTGGAAATGTTTATTCAAGTAACGGGGGGAGGGCGAGAAAGCGATAACTCCATAGATTCTACCAACTTGGTCGGCGAATAGAAACAAAGGTTAGCAGTGAATAGAGCTAGGGTGGAAAGAGACGATAGGAGATGCGAGGAGGAGGAGTGAGCTGCAAAGACATAAAGGGTCGGAAACGCAAGTTACAAATAGCAGAGCACACAATTAAGTAGCCGCCAGACCGTGACCGAAGTTCTCTCGGTGAGAGATTATCGGCTAATTATCAGTTTCCAAAAAGCGTTCCTAAAATTACAAGCAGCATCCGATTGCTCCTCAAGTCGCTCGAGATAATAGTAGTCGGGTTGGGTTGATTCATTTGCGATGTACGGTGAACAAGAGACTGGAACGAGCGAGGCATACACAAGTGTGTTTTAGGCGCGATAAGTTGCATCCTGTACGGTGCATCGTATTACTGTGTGCACACAGAGACGCGGTTAGCCTCCGTTTTATTCACCCTCGCGTGCGGATGTATAAAGTGGTGGTGACGAGATCCAGACGCGCCGCGCGAGTCGTAGAAAGGAGGGGTTCATGCGAAACATACAGTGTTACTTTATTGCTCGCGTCAAAGGCAATCTGCCTTCTCGTACACTAATTTCGTACATTTTTTTCCTTAGGGCCTCTTTCACCAACGCCGATTAACTTAATCGACGATTAGTCCATTGGAATTGACCAATCGCATTTATCATTTAGTTTTGACGACAGATGCGATTGGTCAATTCCAATGGACTAATCGTCGATTAAGTTAATCGGCGTTGGTGAAAGAGGCCCTAAGGAAAAAAAATGCTGTTGATTCAATTAAAATCTCTATCACGGGCTGTCACTGACATAAGTAATTAATTCATGTACATTTTTATTGATATACAAAAACTTTTATTATTGTTTCAATAATCAAGGTTTTGTGTCTCAATAAAAATGTACTTGAATTAATTACTTATGTTAGTGACAGTCCGTGATAGAGATTTTAATTGAATCACAACAGCATTTTTTTCTCAGTGTACCCTCTTCGTACACACTCGCTCCCCTCCCCTCCTCCCTCTCCTCCACCCCCCCGTTTTCCTAACGCGGCACTTTGACGATCGAGAGCGCGTCACGTGGGCGTTTGTAGCGTGTACGGCACCACAAATGCATTTTCGCGGTTTCACGTCGATAGCGAAATAGCTGACTGACACGCTCGTAAAGCGCCGGCTTCCGCAAGACGCTTCTGCGTGTCGTCGTCCCGCGCGCGCTCTTTTTCCGCGCGATCGGACATGGGGCGAAGATGTCGTTATTCCGGAAAATAACTTCGCTGATCTGGCCAATGTTGTAGCATTCATAAAAAGCTCATAAGGAAATAAAAAGTTTCGGACATTTCGCTGCTGAGGGGAGGATAAGCGGCGGGATTTCCAGCGCATATATTTCATCTCCAGAAAGCATATTTTATCGGAGACGACCGTAAGTTATTCGAAAGTTCGTCCAGTAAGTTTTATCCTACGAGAATAAATCGCAAAAGACAAATCCGTATTCTCCCTCTCTCTCTCTCTCTCTCTTTTTGTTTCTCCCTTTTCCGTCTCCTTTGATCGCGTGACTTGGTGCATGTAAACGAAGTTCGCGACAATTATAAAAGTTGCAAAAGAAGGAAGATGCGCGCGGGAGAAGATTGTATCGCGCGCGGTCGATAATCTTCCAAAACTGAAAACAGCAATCTACGCTTTGCCTGCCTGCAGGATTTTGTATAAATACAGTCGCGAAAAACCGAGAGGAGAAGGGAGAGACTTCATTCCCGCAAATTAATTAAAAGCGTCGTTCTCCAAAAGATGATATCAACGCCTTCTCCTATGGTCTCTTCTGGATCCTCGGTTACCTCTTCCCTGAG